TTAATGAATAAAGCACTGTTGGCCAATAGAAAAACAAGATAGGTGGGACTAGGAGACAAGGAGGATTCTGAGAGATGTAGTAGAGAGTTGAGATATAGGATGCAAGAGGAGTAAGAAGTTTGGACCCTCTCTCCAGTAAGATAGGACCACATGGAAACACTTAGATTGATAGAAATGAGTTAATATGTAAGACAGAGCTAGCCAATAAGAAACGCTAGTAGCTGGTCAACAGTTTCATAAGTAACAGAGTGTCTCTCTGTGTTGTTTGGGGCTGACACAGCTGTGGGACTAGGTTGTCGGGAAAGTGCTTGTAACAGAAAGGTACCTGCAAGAGGCATTTAAGGAGTGGAGTATTTGAACAGAACTTCAAAAGGGAAGATTGTTGAGGGTAAATACAGAGAGAGTACATTCAGGCTGCAGAAAACCCCAGGCTCAAAGTCCAAGGGTGTGGAAATATAAGGCACAGGAGTCAGGCTGCTCACACCACAATAAAGTGCGGTGGGGTTGGGAATTGGGAGAACAGAACATCCACGCTAGCCAGGAAAATGGAACAGGTTACCAGAGCCTGCCAGCCATACACCAGGGCTTCTACTCTGGGATGTCATTGACACTTGGAGCTACCTTCTTTTTTGTTTTCAGGCTGTCACCACCCTGTGCTTGGGAGATGCTGAACAGCCATCCTGGCCTCTGCCCAGTGCGTGCCAAGAGCAACTGCGCCACCAGCAGAGGCAACCAATCATGTCTCTGCACTGCCCATTGCCCCATGGGAAAGCTGCCCAAAGCAGTTAATGTAGGGAGTGAGGGTAGCAACGACCTAGAAGCCATCAGGAGCAATCCTTGTAGTGAATCAAGGAAGGGAGCAAAGACAAAAGACTGGAAAGGGTGAACAGGAGGCTCTCTGAACCAAGGGGCTGAAGAGATCAGTGCTTGGTCAATAGAGTTCTTACTGTAGACTCAATGAAGACCCCAGCACAACCCCCCACCCCTGAGTGAAGATGTTCTGCATCCCGCTAAGCAGCAGAGCCAAGTTTAAGTCCCAGGTCCAAAGAAGTATGTGCAATGATAGAGGAAGACACATGACATTGACCCCTGACTTCTGCACACAGACAAACATGGTACAAATATGCCACACACACACACACACACACACACACTATGGGCATGGTGATGTGCATACTTCTAATCCCAGTGTTGCAGAGGCACAGACAGGAGGATTCCTGAGACAGGAGGATTGCTGGCCAGCCTAACCTAATTGGTGTGTGTTCCAAGCCAATGAGAGACCTGAGAATATTAACACCCAAGGTTATCTTCACACACACACACACACACACACACACACACACACACACACACACACTTAAAAAAATAGGATTAAAAATTACACATTCATTTTAAAGGGGTGGGAAGGAAGGCCAATCCTTCATGGAAATTGGAGGCAAAGGCCATTGACCAAAGGGTCAGAAGAAGAGGTGAGTGTAACCCAAAGTGACTGGCACTTGCAGGGCCCACGGCAGCACATCAGGAGCCGGTGAGCCTTGCTTCCTTTTAGGAATTATATGCTTAGCCCATGCTGGCACGGTCACGGGCCATCTCCTGAAAGAACGGTAGTTACACGAAGGAGCTGATTCTGAGAGTCACCTCCTACAGCTGTCTCCACACAAAAACACTGGGTTTGGGAGGCAGGCACACACGTGTAGCAGTTTTCCAGAGGCCACTCTGCTTGGAAACAGGATAAGCACCTGGTCCCTCTGTCTTTGGATCTGTGGTCTCAGCTTCCACCTGGTCACTTGCACTCCCGAGGGACCAGCTATAAACTGTCTCTGGGCACACCCTCCCTGTATTGTATGACTTTCCAGGGTGTCTCAAAGGCCTCAGGGAAAACCCTTCACTTTATTATTATAATAAAGAGCGAGAGTCACTTGGAGAAGTACACAGGGTGGAGTCCACAGTGGTCCAGTACACAGGAGTACAATACCTTCCGAGCCTGTGAATGTGCTCACCAACTTAAAGCCAGCAGATCTCCTTGTCCATGATGCCGTGTAGAAGTGCGTCTCTTGCTCTGCCCACCCTTCGTCGGAGGTTTGGGAGCACGGCTAAGGATGCTGGCCCTCGATTGTTCTTTCTCGTGTCTGGGTCCACCTGAGGCTAGTATGATGCCACTTATGTCATATAATTGCCATCTTTACTGTGAACTGGAACATCTAAAGGAACCCACTGTGACCAAAGATACTCCTATCACTCAGGAAATCACAAGGCGTCAGTTCTGTGACAGAAACGGACCAGTACCAAGTACATAAACAATGATAATGGCAGCTACTTGCCCTCTGAGATGTGTTTCAAGACCCAGTGTGGGTCCCTGGAGCCACAGATGAATAGTGCAGGAGACATGGACGCACTGGAGAGGGATGGCTGACTTCAGGGGGTGGTGGGTGTATGCAGCATGGACGCAGTGAGCAACAATGTACCATACGCCCAGAGTGGGGAACAGTGCACTGGCACAAGACGTCACCACACTGCTGAGGATGGCATGCCATTTAATCTCGTGGATTATTCTGGAAACTTCCATTTACTATCTACTATAGACCATGAACGGTTGAGGATTGTGCAAAACAAGACTATGGGTAGCCACACTGATTTTTTTAAAAAAAAAAATTCAGTAGCAATGCATCAGATGGAATAAGGACAATGCAAAATGTAAAAAATAAATAAATAAATAAATAAAACGGAGGGCAAATGAGTGAGGGAAATCAAAGGTGCTGAGGCTCAGTGGAGTCAGTGCCAGGGCTGGTCCCTGAGGTCCATTAACGCTGGTGCTTGCATGTGCCTCTTCACAGCCACCTCCTCCTCGGTTGTCCCTCCCACAATCTCAGGATGGCCTGAGGTTACCGCTCGCAGTCCAGGGTCTCCCCTACACACCTTCTACTTTTCTCATGACTTGTAGTCTGGCCCCCCAAACTACAGTTGTGAAGGTCCTAGCAGGTGGGAATCATATCTGTGTTCTTCCAGCCACAGGCTGCGCAGGATTTCACACCAAAAGGGAGTGAGGACAGGTGTCACCCCTGGGCCAGACCCACGGGAGCCAAACACTTCATTTCAAGCTAAGTTAATGACCTACTAAGGACTTCTCTTTCAGTAACGGGCACCATCAACAATACAGTGCTGGTGCTTAGGACTCTAAAAAGAGCCTTCCTTTGAGCCTTCAGGGAGCCTCTTAGTGAGTCTACAGAAGGTGGTGACAGAAGATCGTGCCCGCCAAACCCAAAGAATTGTCAGCAATTTTGCCACAGGGACACACAGAAAAGACCCTTGGGCCCCAGAGCTCCATCCACCCATTACTCCATCCCCATAACGCCAGATTTAGGGAGCACATTCAGTAGCTTGTTCAATGGTGTTTACAAGAGTAAAATGGAAAGGAAAGAAAGAAATCATTTTTCTGGTATGACTTGGCCAGATAAAAATCTTGAACTTCGGGGCAGAATAACATTCTTTTGGAAGGAAGGGAGGGAGGGAGGGAGGGAGGGAGGAAGGAAGGAAGGGGTGAACAGCTTCGCAAAGCTCCAGGGCATCAGGGACAAACAGTTCTGTACTGATGGCTCCAGAGCCAGTAACAGCCAGGGAGGATAACTTCACACATCTTAATCAAGACTGAGCCCCTAAAGCATTACCTCCCCAAGAAACCACTCAAAGCGCTGAATAGTTAAAAGAAAAAAAAAAAAAAATCCCAGGTACAACAAATTGCACTCAGCAGCTATCAACCATATTATTTCCTTCCCATCTAATGTAATTTCTCTATTTTTTTTTTAAATATAAATGGCTTTGGCTATTTAGAAAAAAAGAACTATCCACCCTCCTAAATGAACCTCACTCTTTTATTTGTTTTTAACAATTGAACAATCTGGGGATAAAAATGAAACAGTAATTCTAAGTAGCTCCTTAAGTGCCGAGATTTTCCTCCAACTGTCATTTCACCTAGGAAATTGTTCAGTCAGGAGGCGCAGGGTGGGGGAACGGGATGCGCAGAGGTGGGAAGCTACGCCTGAAACCCAAGCCAAGCAGTTGGTCCACCTTAACCGGAGCATCTCTGAATAGAACGACATGCCGTCCGCCCCTGCCCATCACTTCTTAGTCATTCACTCAGGCTTGTCATCTGTAATTATTAGTTAGGTAGGTACAGGGAGGAGATAGATCACTGAAGGAGCCTAGCAAGAACCTCACCCTCGGGTGCCTACAGACTAGAAGTCAAGCAGATAAACTGGATGACTTAATTAATTCATCCCTCAAATAATTACAGCACTTTTCAATAACCTTTGGACCTCTGGGCCGTCACGGAGACAGGCAGATCTGGCATTCTGGGGCTGACTTCTGGCGGGAGTCAAGCAGATAAACAAGATGACCTCAGAGTGCTAATTGCGGGGAAAGATGTAACAGGAAGTTGTGATGGAGGCTTGGGAGGGCGTGGGCACCACTGAGGCACGGCGGTGGGGATGACTTATGAGCCTGGGCCGGCCGGTGGCTCCTGCCCCGGCCCCGTTTGGTGTCCATGCGCCCACAGCTCCCGTGGTGGGGAAGTGGGCACTGCAGGGCGGATGGGCAGCCCTGGCCCACCGAGGGTTCGACCCCTGGGCTGGCAAGGGCAATGCGCGCGGCGCTGACTGCCAGCCGCGATCCTTCAGCTCGAAGCAGAAGGTGGGACTAGGTCTCGAAGAGAACATCGCCAGAGCGTGCTCTGGCGAACGCCGCGAGGCTCGGCCACGTCCAAAGACAGGACTTGAAAGGCTTCGGAAACCCGCCAAACGCCAAGCGTCCCGCCGCCAGGGCCCGCGCGTGCGCGGAACGGCGCCCGCAGGCCGGCCTCGGCGCTATCCGGCTCTGCGCCTGCGCACTGAACCCTCACGCGGGCTAGGCTAAGTTTGCACCGAGCGCGAGGGGCGGGGCCTGGCTGCGCTGCGCCGAGGAGGCGGGGCCCGGCCGCGCCGAGGGGCGGGGCCCAGCCCGGCTCCGATTGGCCGCGGGACGGCACTTCCGGGCGCCCTCGCGCTGGGCCCGACGGCGCCTGCGCGCTGCGGAGCCGGCCGGCCGGGACGGGACGGGACGGGGCGGGGCCGGCGAACTTGTGTGCCTCGTCGTCCCGGGACGCCGCGGGCCACCGGGCAGGCGGCCGGCACCATGAAGATCTGGACTTCGGAGCACGTCTTTGAGTGAGTGTGGGCGCGGCTGCGGCTCCGGCGCCGTCGGGGGTCGGGGGCTCCTGGCGTCGGGTGTGGCACAGCGGGCGGGGTTGAGGCCGGGGCCCGGGGCCGCCAAGGTCACGATCCCGACCCGAGATAGGTCCTCGGTGATCCCGGACGTGCGCCCCCGCCCCTGACGGAAGACAGGGGCCGGCCGTCGGGCCTGACCCGGAAGTGACTCCAGGGGTCGCAGAGCACTCGGCCCCGGCGGCCTCAGGGTGGCCTGGGTGGAGTGTTCTGAGCCCCGGGCCCCTCGTGAGGGCCTGGGGTGCCCTGACTGAGGCCCCCGTTCCATGGACATCCAGGCCGCCGTCCAGCCAGGGCTAGTTTCCCCGGCGAGCTCAGGTCTCACCAGCCTGGTGCCGAACCCTGGTGGCAGCCGGCCTGGGGAACAGTTGCCAGCCCCTGCCATCACATCACTGTACCTTTGTGGTTCTCTGAACTTGTCACGGGAAACAGGACCGGAGCCTGTGGGGTGTCGGGCATTACACCACCCGGGTTCACAGGGCCACACACAAGAACCACGGGGCTTTCCACCCACGTAAATGGTTGTCTCCTGGCCCTGACCCGTTGGTCTCTGTTGTAAAATGGCACCTTGTAATTACTGTTGACTTAACGTTGTGAATCCATTGTGAAAGATCTGGGCTCTTTCACGCTTGACTTCGTTGCCACACTGTTCCAGTAGTGTAGCTTTGTGGTGTGTTTTAATGTAGGCATGCCAATAGTGTTACTGGGGGCAATTTTAAAAGAAGTTGTGGGGATTCTTGCATGATGAATCAGATGCATTCGAAGGTCTTCTGTGGCCCTTAAGGACAGAGTACTGGAACTAGAAAGGAGTCAACACTTCTAACACTTCTGGGGCGGTGGGGCTGTAGTCCTTGGGGTGCCTTTAGTAGTCTGTTTGAGAAGAAGGGGTTCTACATCCCAGTCCTCTTCTGGATCTGAATGTTTTAAGAGTTGCTGGCACCAAGTCTCCTGCTTAGAACGTGTCCCCCCTTCTGGTCAACCCTTCCCTCAGCTTGTCTCCTCTCCCCACTCCTGGACCCTGCTCCTCCCCCTTTCCTGTGTGTGCGTGTGCGTGTGCGTGTGCGTGTGCGTGTGCGTGTGTGTGTGTGTGTGTGTTCGGGGGAAATGTGGTCCTTGGCCTTCCTGACTTACTCTTTATTCATGATCTTAGCCTTTTTTGTCACAGACGTCTGGGACTGGATGAATGCTCCAGGGGCCTGTCTCCTAGATGATAGATCCACAAACGAATTCTGTCCCTGCCCTGGGAGGATGCCTGGAACTGCTGTCTCTCCGGATAGACAGAGCCACCCAATCAGGGGCCCAACACCCACACGATCATGGCACCCAGATCTGTATCTCAAGCAGGTTGTGCAGCATGCCTATAACCCTCACACTTGAGAGCCTGAGGCAGGAGAATTGCCGTGAGTCTGAGGCTAGCCTAAACATAGAGCTACATAGTGTGTGCTGGGCAGGAGGACTGTTTGGAAAGGTGAATCTCAGAAAACAATGGCAAAGATGGCTGCCCGCTGAGCTCACAGTGTGGCCTGAGTTCCATCCAGCTGCCTCGCTGCCATTTCTGTGGCTCCATCTTGAGAACATTGCTCTGTCAAGCAGGATCCCAGGCATTCTTCATGCATACATCTTGGTTTGGGGGCACTTCTGAGACGTGGAGTATTATGAGCACTCAGTGTGGAGTCAGTTGTTGAGCCTTCCAGCATCTGAGTGTACGATATGTCCTAGCACAGCTTTGATAAGAGTCCAAAATAACTGTTGCCACCTCTGTCGGTTAGCAGTGCTCCCATGCACAGGTCAGTGAGCTGCGGCCAGGGTGCGTCAGCTCCAACTCGGCGCTCCGTCAGTGTCTGCCAGGGCCTTTTTCACATAATCGTGGTTGAGGTTCGAGCTAGGTCAGCAGTGCTGTTAAATGTTGGCTTGGAGAACTCAGATAGGGCAAGTCACAGTAAAGTACAGTAACCTCAGGCCGTGTTTTAATTTCTCAGAAAGGGAGGCATAGGAGGTAAGCGCAAAGAAGGCAGCTAACCTTGCTTCCGGGCTGATGATGGACCAAAGGGAGCCTCGTCTGATTTTCATTTTAGGTAGTTGCCTCTGTGACAGTCAGAGGGCTGGACCAAATAAATCACTACCATTGTGGGCAGCTTAGATTTATGAAGCTTCACACCTGCACTGACTGTGGAATGGTGCCTGAGATTAAATAGAAGTTAGGGCTTGGACATTGAGAGCCCATTCCCCATAAAGGGACACACAGGGGAAGGCCAAGGCCCTACCCCAAATGATATGACAGACTTTGATGATCCCCCATGGAAGGCCTCCCTGGGAGTGGATGGGGGATGAGATGGGGGGTTGGTGGGGGGCTTGGGAAGATGGTGATATATAAAATAAGATAGTTTCTAATTTAAATTTTTAAAAGGCTCAGTTGTATATTTTTGACTAAATGAAAACATTAAAGACCATGTCACTGGTTGTCTATGGCTCTGGAAAATTAATGGGTTGAGGCTTTTCTTCTGTTGATAAGGTGTAGTTGTCAGTCTGGCTTCTCCAGAAAGTTGAAATGGATGAATGTCTGCCTGCTTTGCTTTTAGATAAACGAGTGCTTTGGTTTGTGTTCGTGGGCCTAGCTTGAAATCTGTCTCTAGAACTCAAGGATGCACACATAAATAGTGCAGAAAGGGGTGGGCTCAGCCTGCAGATGGACCATCCAGCGTTGGTACTGACTGCTCAGTCAGGGCTTCCTGAGAAGTGAGTGCCTTTTGTTCCCAAAAGGCAGGTGCCAGTGTGGCATATTTTGAATAGTATGTGGCCTTTTTCAAGAAAGTAAAGAAGCTGAAGTTCTCAGCCACTGGAGTGATGGCAGGTGTCCATGCTAAGTTATTAGGGCCTTGGCATTTCCTAGTGTGTGACATTTCAGAGCTGAAGCCAGACTTGGAGGAAAGCAGTGGATTATAACAAAGGGCAAGTGTTAAAGAAAATGCTTAATCAGCCTGGTGATGGTGGCGCACGCCTTTAATCCCAGCACGCAGGAGGCAGAGACAGGAGAATCTCTAAGCCCAAAGCCAGCCCAGTCTAAAGAGCTACTTCCAGGATAGCCAGGGCTACACGAAGAAACCCCATCACCAAAAGAAAAGAATAAAACAAAACAGAAAATGCTTAATCATAAATTGATAGTAAGATCTTTCCTAATTCTTGCCACAGTGCCTGGAGTTCTTATAGCTGTAGAACTGTGGTCAGACTCAAGAATGAATGTTATGTTGCCATCTCCTGCTTGTTTCTCTGAACATGCTCTTTGAGTACGTTTGTGTGGGGTTGACTGTTCTTACCTGTGGGTAGGGGTAGGTAGGAAGACTGCAGACTGCCGTGAGAGGGGCACATGCTTCTGTGAGAGTGCTCCGCATGCTGTCTGTGCACAGTTAAAACCATCAGCACTCAGTGTCTCCAAAGGTTGTTGCCGTACGTCAGCTCATCGCCATCCTAGAGCACAACCCCCTGTGCTAGGAGAATGGCTTACCTCGCCTGCCATTTTGCATATTTGGTTTTTGGTTTGTCTGCAGCCACCCATGGGAAATGGTTACCACGGCTGCAATGCAGAAATACCCAAACCCCATGAACCCGTGCGTGGTCGGCGTTGACGTGTTGGACAGACATGTTGATCCCTCTGGAAAACTGCACAGCCACAGACTCCTCAGCACAGAGTGGGGCTTGCCTTCCATTGTGAAGTCTGTAAGTATGCCCTGTCTGGAGAAATGTGCTAGAGTGTTCTACCACATTTCCATAGTAAAGTAGGTAGGAGTGCTTGGTGACCTGGAAATACTGTTCAGCCCTCCTGAAAGTCCCATGGCTGTAGGAAGCTGGCTTGGTAGACAGGGTTACAATCTTTTCCTGGTTTTGGTCCAGACTGAAGCCTATCATGGAATTTACAATGGTTAGGTCCTAGCTATTAGGTGACATTAGACCCTTGTGGGTTGTGCACACTAAGTACCAAAAATTCTGTTTGGCTTGCTGTTCTGCATTTAGGCCATGGTCTGGTACTTTCTACGTTTAGAAGTAGTTCTGTTTCTGTGACAAACCACCAGGCTTTAGTGAGCTAATAGAACCAGTGAGAAACTAGAATGTCAGTTGGTGTTTTGGACTGGTGGTGCTTGGAGCCAGGCATCTGCATTGGGCCTCTCTGTTCAGAACAGAAAGGAAGCCTGCTTTCCAACACAGCAGAGGTGGGTGGGCTTGGGACACACCCAAGGAGGATGCTCATTGAGGATGTACCCTCTTGGCTGTGTGCCCTGTCATCTAGCCAGTGGGGGAGTGGGGATTCCCCCTGACTGATCTGTGCTCCTGAACTCTGCCAGGGACATGGTGCATTCTGGAGTCTTCTGACTTCCAGATATCCCCTTCTCTGCTCCAGCGTCACACACCACAGTGTCATCAAGCTGGTCACCCGTTGCCTCTGGGGAAGGTTCTTAAGTAGGGCCTATGCAGTCCTGGCGTCCTCTGGGTACAAGTCCGTTACCACCAACAGGTTTTGTTCAGCATAATTCACGCATTTGTGCCTTCACCTGAAAGATGGCCCTGCTTGATGGGAGCTCTCTGGTTCTAACTGTGGTGTTGCCTGTAGCTTATAGGTGCAGCAAGGACGAAAACATATGTGCAGGAGCATTCTGTGGTTGACCCGGTAAAGAAGACTATGGAGCTCAAGTCCACCAACGTGAGAGTTCTTTCTTACAAGTGAAACATGAATGAACGTATGCTGTCGAAAGGCAGTACCTGGCTGCGCAGAGTAGTCTATACCTGTAATCCAACTGCTTTGAAGGCTGAGGCAGAATCACAAATTCAAAGCCAACATAGACTGCAGACTGCATTCAAAGCTGTTTGGGGCAACATAGGGAGAGGCCCCCTTATTTTATACATACGTACTTTTGGGGTTATGTTTTGTTTTGTTTTTGAGACAGGGTTTCTGTGTTAGCCCTGGCACTTGCTCTGTAGGCTGGCCTTGAACTCAAAGATCCACCAGCCTCTGCCTCTGGAGTGCGGGGATTGAAGGTGTGTGCCACCACCTTCCAGTTTATTTATCTTGAAGACTAGGGGTATGATAGAGTACTTGCCTAGCATGGCCGTGGCCTGAAGTCCAATCCCCTAGCATCACGAAGTTAAAAATAAATAATAACAGAGGAGGAAAGGTGCTACATACTCCCTAACCTGACTTTCCTAAATTCATTTTCTTTTTTACATTTACAGTATAGGGGAGCATACTCAGGAAACCATGTGAAGGGTTAGGACAGCTTGCCATGGGAGTTGGCTCTCCTACTAGGGGATAGAGCTTAGGTTGCCAGGCTTAGGGGAAGCACTTCTCTTTACCTACTAGGAGTTGGCCACCTCCCTGCCCAAATAAAAGTTTGGTGAAATTTAAGTATAAATTTAAATTAGAGTTACCCAGTAATGCCAAGATTTTTTGGGGGGGAGGGTATGAGTTTAGCAAATGAGATTTGGAGCTGTGTGTTGGTTTTAGAAATCTTTCTAAACTTGGTTTCCAAAGTGCCTGACTTTTTGTTCACCCTGTAGATCTCATTTACAAATATGGTCTCAGTAGACGAGAGGCTCACATACAAGCCACACCCCCAGGACCCAGAGAAGTAAGTAAGGCGGGATGGGTGGTGGCCTTGGTTGGTGAACCACTTTGTTCCTTGGTGGATTGCTCCTTGAAAATTAGCCATGAGTCATCTAAAGCTGTGGTTGTTTTGCCAGAACGGTCTTGACCCAGGAAGCCATCATCACCGTGAAAGGGGTCAGCCTCAGCAGCTACCTTGAAGGGCTCATGGCCAGCACCATATCTTCCAATGCTAACAAAGTAAGCAGGCGGGCACGGCCTATCGGTGCTCACTACCCTGGCTCCACTACCTGAATGTAGCTGGTTCCGAAGCTGACTGGGCCACTCTGTTGGGAGAGGCAGAACAGCCGGCAGTGATTTGGGTGGGCTCTGCAGCCCAGCACACCTCTGTTCACACTTGCTAGCAGCTCAGGGCATGTTATAGACACACTTGGACGATGAACAGCCAGCCATGTCTGCTAAAAGTGCTGGTCCTGGGCAGTATTTGTTTGCCCATCGCTTTTTACTTCTGATTTCCTCATGAAACTATTTGATGCACATGCCACATGTGTGTCTAGTTACTCCTTTGGGAATCACCCCATGTTAAAACAGAAAGGTTGGGGGGAAGGTACCTAACACATTGTTTCTTTAAGACGTTTCATCGAGGCATTCTCGAGAGAATTTGGCCAGCAAGCCAAGTGTGCTTTGCCCTGCTAGGCCTCAGGAAGGCAGCTTTAATCACACAGCACTCTGCTGGGAAAGGAAAAGTAAAGGCAGGCGTGAGCATTTAATGAGTGTTTGGTAACTGATGTTTTTGCCAAGTGCTAAGAGGGAAGGAGTTGGTGCGAGCAGTATCCAGGAAGAACATTGGGGTGGTGTGGGGAGGGCACATGCAGAGGCCCTTAGACGGGAAGCAGGAAGTGTCCTTCATTCCTCAGACAGCAGAGTCTCGGGAAGGCGGGGTGGGGGCCAAGGACCAGATCCTGGGTGTGCATGATTTCCAGTGTTGATACAGAAAGAAAGGGGCATCACCACTGTAGTCACAGTCAATGAGACGTCCTGCACTCAACTGTACATTCTTCTAGAACATCTTCTGCATACAAAGTAAAAATTGGCTTCTGGATCAAGCCATTTACTCAATGCATTTTGTATCTGGTAAATAATGAAAAGAAAAAGAAAACAAGGACAATGATCTGTCCCTGAGACTTAGTTAGCCTGCAGACCCCCCCATATCTTCATGTACACCTTTGCTCACAGAAACAGTAAGTTTATTGTTCTTTCTAAGGGCCGAGAAGCAATGGAGTGGGTGATACATAAACTGAACGCTGAGATTGAAGAATTGGCAGCATCAGCAAGAGGAGGCATACGGACACCAATGGCGGCCGCCGCAGCATTTGTGGAAAAATGACAGCAGAAATAGGTGCAGCTACAGGGCCCCCAGGACTCTCCAGGCTGACATCATATTTATTATTTAAAGGATACAGCTGTTTTAGGTAGATTTTATAACTTTTTTTTTTTTTTTTTTTTTTTTTTTTTTTTTTGGGAGCTGGGATAAGGCTGTGGCTTTTGGTCAAAACAAAAGATGGAGAACTTCTAAATCAAAGTGATCGTCTGAGGTGGAATGACTTGAGGGAGCTGACTGGAAAGTCTTGTGTTCATGTGAATGATTCACGGGTTGTTTGTTGTTGCTGTTTAAGTACTTCTAAGAAACTGATGTTGATCTCAAGTCTCCTTAGGTAGACTCTTACAGCCTGTCAGGTACTGGAACACTATCTGGCTGTGGACCAACCAGAACAAAAGCCAGCCACCCTCACGTCCACACAGTTGCCCACTGCTGTGAACTGGAGCCGCCTACCTGAGGAATTCACTTTAAAAAGAGAAATTGTGTAATTTCAAATGCCTTTAATTTGTATAAAATAACTTGCCCTCTTGGAAACCAGTGTTTGGATTTGGTACTTAAATGATATTTTTGGAGTACAAATTAGTGCTAAGGTGTAATATATAACTCCAGCAAAAAAAAATAGTATTTTATTGTATTAACGGGTACTGTATTAATTTGCCAAAGTTTTGTGACTTAGTAAAGGCATTCCCTTCCTTGAATTTGTACTTTGTGATTTCGCTTGCTGTACTGTGGGCTGGTTATGTTAACTGAAAAAATAAAATCATTACCTGAGTGTTGTATCACTCTTACACAGAACCCTGAGACATCTCTTACATTTCACATTTACTTATGTCAAACTCATGGTCTATCAAAGGCATGATTAGTCAAGTTATTTGAATATAATTACATTTGGAGGTAACTATGACCACAAAACAGCCTTTTTTATTTTATGTGAAGAGCTGTCCATCATTTGAGGCTACTGAGATGTCACCTAGATACCTGGAACTTTCATCTTAACACCGGGGTGTTGTGTGGGAGGAACAGAAGAGGTGGCCTGAGGGAAACACCTGCTAGCGTTGGTTTTGGGGTGCCAGAGAATGGCTACAAAAAAGCCACAGGCTGTGGGCCACTGGTGGTGTTCGCTTTGATGCATATGGTATTGTCGGGGTTGGTTGGCTTTTGCCATTTATGGGATGGGCTTCTAGTTGGTTTTCCTAGAGCCCAGCTAACAGCCACACAAAACCACAGAGACTTTTAAATGCCGTTAAAATACTGGCTTCCTACTTTAAAAGGTTGCTTAGCTGAAGAATCCTTTGGGCATTTGTAAAATGTCCTACTAAAACTTAGTGTGGGCAGCGTGTGGTGTGGCCTCTGCGGCTCACGCCCGGCCTGCGTGGCCAGGGTCTGGTGCCCCAGCGGTTTCTACAGTTAGGCTCTAGTTTGCGAGTGTGTAAGCCCTCACTTGGCACTACAGCCCTCTTAGGCGTGAATAACTAACTTCCCAGCCAGCAACCTTGGGGAGCTCTGCGGCCGGGCCGGGGACCGCTGCCTGCGGATTGGCTGGCTGGCCGCCACTTCCCGGAGGCCCCGCCCTCCGCCGCTGCACCTGCGAAGGTGACCGCGACGCCGCGGCCTCGCTTTCCCAGGTGTCCCCGCGCCCGCGGTTTCCGGCAGCCGCTCGGCCAATGGGCGGCCGCGACCGGGGTGAGTGACGGGCCCGCGCGCCCCGCCCCTTCCGCTACCCGGCGGCCTGACCTTCCTGCTGCCGGTCCCGGCCGAGGCGGCTCTGAAGCGACCCCGCGGTTCTGCCCGACACGCCCCGCTCGCGACACCATGGTGGCGTACTGGCGGCAGGCCGGACTCAGGTATGCCCGGGCGGCGTTGGGGAGCCCGCACGCACGCACGCACGCACGCCCTCAGCAGGCCTCAGCGACCCAGGCCGCGCGGCCACCCGCCAAGATGGCGTCGCCGTGGACAAGGCACGCCGCGGGGTCATGGGTCACGGGCCCCAGGCTGAGGTGTGCGCTCGTCGGCGGGGGAGCCCTGCGGCCCTCGGTGACCTCTCCCGGCCGTGAAGCCCGAGTGAGCCCCCACCCTCAGCGAAGGGGCCGGGAGTGTGCGCAGTGACTGACGTCTTTGGGGATAAGGTGGTGGCAGACCTCTGTCCACCACACAGGCAGCTGCCTGAGCCCCGCGGCCGGGTGTGATGCTCGCCCAGAACTTTTAGTCCACTGGGAGGTGTTTTCAGTGACCGGCAAAAGGCAGCAGTCTCAAGTTTTCAGGACCGCACGCCTTTTGGTAGTTGACCATAGAAATCACTGTTTTGCTTGAAAACTAAAATTATAAACACACACATACTCATTCAAAATAGTGGAATAGTTAGAACAACTTAAATACAGAAATGAGCTAGAGAACCAATCATGTGGGAACGATGTTCACCTTTTGCTATATTTCCTACACTGGGAGTTTTTTTTTTTTTTTAATCCTTCATTTTAAGTTAATATGAAAAGATACACTGCCAAGAAGAAAACTTACAACCTCTCCGTCGAATACCAGCCAGTCTGAGGACACATCTCTAGTCGCCCCCTTTGTATAGATTAGTTTGGGTGTTGTGCGGTTTTCAATCCAGTTTTGCCGTAGTGATGAGTAACCAACCAAAGTTAAGAGGACACAAAGAAAGCCAGGGTATCACGGGTAATGACAGTACTGTGTAGCTGTTGGTGACAAGCCCTGCATCCTCTCTCACTTTGCTAGCTACATCCGGTTCTCCCAGATCTGTGCAAAAGCAGTGCGGGATGCCCTGAAGACCGAGTTCAAGGCAAACGCCGAGAAGACTTCCGGCAGCAGCATCAAGATCGTGAAGGTGAAGAAGGAGTAGCTGGTGAGTGGCTGGCTCTGTTAGGGGTCACCTCTTCAAGTGTTCAGGGCCTACCAAAACTCACTTTAGTTTGACACTCTGCCTCTCAGTTGATGGCTGCGCACCCCGGTTAGTGCGGCAATGATTTAGAGTGGACTGGTCTTAGACATCTCCTGGCATGATGAAAGATTGCCCTGCGCAGCCTTGACAAGCAGAATAATTGGCACATTGATTTCCAGTGCAGTTAGCAATCCTCGGATAGAAAGCCATCTTATTTTAATTAAAGCCGGTTCATCTATCTGCAGAAAATCAAATAATTGGGAGGAGAAGCTCTCCTTTTGTAATTGCTGTTGGAGTTATGTAAGGGACGGGCCTTGAGCATGAGAGATGGCAGTCTGTCGCAAGTCCCTTTCCCACAGCTGCTGGTGCCCTCACACAGCTTCTTCCTGAGCATACGGGCACACCTGCAGGCAGGGTCTTGGTGTTTTATTAAGCAAGAAGGGCTGCTAGCCCTGGGTGAGCCCCATTCTGCTGAGTTGGTTGTACTCTGTACAGAGCTGTTGGGAATGTACAATTGCAATCTTGTGCCTTGACTAGGCAGCTCTGCACGGTGAGTTCAGACTGATTTGATCTCCCAGCTGCTTTACTTACTTTGTTATTTCAAAGATAAGCAAGGCACGTTATCAGGTAGTGTTCATATTTCATCTGCTTTTGCTTTTGCAGTGCATCAGTCAGTCGGGCAGCAGCACAGCCGGTGGTATCCGTGCTCCAAGGCCTGTGCTATGAGCAGTCTGCCTGATGGAGAGACTCTTTCCCCTGAGCACTTTTCACGTCCATCTTGAATTAGCAAATGCTTTACTACAAACCGGGGAGTGCAGTGTTTGAATGGAATCCCTGTCCTTGGGTCTTTAAACCTCTGTATGTGGGCAGTTGGTTCTCCACAGCGAGCTGAGTGAATGAGAAGGAACGTCTCACCTGCCTGCAGTCACACTGTCCATCTGTGACTGCCTCTTGTGACATTGTCAGAGCCTTGGGGTTAGCAAGGCATGTCTGGCATGGTCCCTATCTAATGCCTTGCAACAGGGAGCACCCAGTCCGCTGGCACGGGGGCAGAGGGCTATAGGACAAAGCTGTCCTGTCACAGTAGACGTATTTATTCACACGGTTGCTGACGCAAGTAGGTTCTCTTGTTCATGGTGGATGCAAACTAGCAACTGTTGCGTTTTCTTTTTCCTTCCTAGACCCTGACTGAAGCATGACCTGCCGAGCCTTCAAGGTGAAGAAGATGTGGGCACCTATTATGTTATGGCAGATTGAAATCAACCTCACCTCCTGGGAGCAAGACCCCCCAGTCTTGCTGATAATTTGACTATGACAATAAACTGACATGCTTCGCTCTCTGCTGGGTTTTGTTGTTTTCTTTTTTAAACAGGAGTATCCACATAGTAATGTGAGTATGACCACATGAATCAGGCTCTCTGAAAAGGCTAGAAGTGCTTACTACCTGATGACCAGTAGGAAGGACACTGCTTAACTGTATCAAAGTAAAAGTTGTGTTTGTCGTAGCGTCACTGATGAAAATTTGACTGGCATGGTGGGTGTCTTGAATCGAATTCACATTAAAGCTGTGGCTCTAGGTGGTTCCGATGAGCCCTTAACCCAAATGAAAACAATTAGAACACACACTAGAGGAACAAATTGTATAACTCATCTCACTTCACACAAAACTGTAGAGAGGAGCCATTAACATTAGACTTTATCTAGACAAAATGCTTTTCACCTTCTATTATTTTCTGGGTGCATTTCTCACCGGGAATGAGGCAGAGCCAGTCAATACCTTGTATCCTGTGTTGACGCAATTAAAACCTGTGATTCTTAACGACCAGTCTGGGCGCAGTGAATAGGACAATCTGATGATACTTGAATGGCCATTTATTTGTTAAATGTTTAGGAACAAAGTGTTTTGGTTTTGGCTTTCATTATAATGTGGACACTCTTAGCTGAGTAGAGCCACTGCTTATAACTTTCTGGAGAGCAGAGAAGCAACTAGAATCCATGCTTCTTCAGCTCACATGAGGCTGAAGGTAAATAAGGCATCTTAGCTCTTGGCTTCTGGGGACTGCTTCATGTCCTCAACACACTTCACCTAAGGGTTTTATTGTATTCTCAGCCACAGGGTGCTCAAGGAGAGACAGCAGATGGATGGGACAGTAATGGCTCTGAAAGGTTAGGAGCCTTGGAATCTGCCTGATTGAAGTCCTGTTGTTAGGCAGTTGCAGCTTCATACCACCTCTCCAAGATTAATGTCCCAAGAAGCATCTCCCATTACCAAGAATGGAAATAGCTGACTCACAGGCCATAGGACAATTAGGCTAGCTAATAAGCAAGTGGCTAAAGGATTTCTAGCTTTGGAAATCACTTGGAGGAACCACTGGGTTAAAGTTAGCAAATGAGAATGGACAGTCCATCAGAGATTCTGAGGGTCTGAGGATGGACAGGACAGTCCGTCAGAGATTCTGAGGGTCTGAGGATGGACAGGACAGTCAGTCCATCAGAGATTCTGAGGGTCTGAGAATGGACAGTCCGTCAGAGATTCTGAGGGTCTGAGGATGGACAGGACAGTCCGTCAGAGATTCTGAGGGTCTGAGGATGGACAGGACAGTCAGTCCATCGGAGATTCTGAGGGTCTGATCTAATAAGATTAAACACTGAGTTAACACTAGGATGAAATAAACTCAGGCCAGCACCTCAGAGTGCCACAGGACAACTTGCCAAGCGATGGAGTCCTCAGCCAGATACTACACTAGCCAGTGGTGTCATAGAGCAAGGGGATCCAGGGAACTTTGAAATCTTAGGACTCTGTTGACTTCAGCTACACCAGTGTATCCGTGGCAACCATAGCACTGAAGGGACCAAGTGTGCCTAGGCTTTTAGTTGATTGGTGGTTTAGTCTACTTGTGCCACGAGAACAGTTAGGAGGTGAAACACAGCACAACGGTCAGACTCCATGAAAAGGATTTTACAGTCAGAGATAAAACGGCTTAGTCGTTTAAAATGGTATTTATTTGCACTTTATTGATTACTAATGAACAAGCCTTCAGTCATAAACATTTTAGGAAGAATGTAAATCTTTCACATCTGTGTAATTCCTTTTGAGGTTCAGAATGAAGGTATCCAGGTACGCATGCAGCTTTGTTAGCATCCAAGAGTGGAAAGGCACGTGTCTCACTAATACTACTGCTTCTCGGTCCATACAGAAGTGGAAAAAATACTTTGTGCTTTTTTTTTTTTTTTTTGATTATATAAGCAGGAGCCTGGCCAGCCATACCAATAATGGGGCCTGATTTTCTCCAGATATGAGTTGCAATTATTTCCTCACAGTGCATATACAAAGAGAGGGCTATCCATCTGCCACTTTATTACTGATTATAAGGGAGTAGCTGGTGACATAGCACTAGCCCAGCGTACCCTAAGGCGCTGGGTTCTATCCCTAGCACCATGGGGACAAGCAAAGACACTAGAACCTGGTTTCATGCAAATAACTGCCTTTGGAGAGGTCAAAGAGCCCCTCAACGATCCCAGCAGGCCACTAAGGCCCATTCACCTCAGACCTAGGAGATTGCAGGGGATCTGCCTCCTGTGTGCTCAGTCTTGCTGTGATGCTAGACTACAGCCATGCAATGGTTAAAGCTGTGTCACCCTGCAAATGTCTATGGCAGCCTCTGCAAATTAATCAACTAAAAGTTCCCTAATGAGACCATGTCCTCTGTCACCAAGGAGGACACTGCGGCATTGCGGCTATGTTCCTGCATTCAAATGGTTGCTGAGCATGCCATGCCCTTTCCCAGAGAATGGGGAGGCTGTCCGGGAGCGTCAGGGGTGACTGCTGAGGGGAAATGAAAAGGGCACCTACAGACAGCCTGTAAGAGGAAGACCAAGGATGCTCATTAGTGAACTACTGGCATCTAGTGCTAATAAGAAACTTAAAACCCAGAGGAAGACGTTGGAAGCCCGTCACCGGGAAACAGAGGTCCGAGGACCGGAATTCTGCTAGTCTTCTGGGTGGTGGGAGCTGAGAGGAGAGACATGGTTTTCATGCTCCCCTTTGTCTTTTTCCAGTCAGCCTGTCAAACAGTACATAAGGTCCGCACAGTGCAGCCCTGGGGGCGGGCTCACACTCACCTTGGCCCTGAGCCTCCCACACACTCTTCAGACACCTGGCTTTGCTGGCTTTGTTAAAGAGGGACTCTGTGAGGCATCTTAGCTGCCCTAGTTATCGGGGACCCACCAATGCTGCTAAAGGGTTGAAGAGGGACCAGCAGCTGCAAAGGGCCCCTGGCAAACACAAAACACTCCATCTGGATGCCTACCTACAGTTAGTTAAAAATGGGGCTCACTACAGTAAATTCACTTGCTAAAATGTAAGAAGAAGAAGAAAAAAAGCATGCATTGGTTGTCAAAACCCTGGCTAGTAACTGTGGGCAAAGGCCCTGCCACCTCCAGCCATCACCACCACGTCCGCCTGCAGTCCCACCACTTTGGCTGTGCCAAGGTGAGGCCAGGCTCCGCGGGCTTCAGGGCAGCCACAAACCTTTGGAGACGTTTCTGGTAATGGCTGCCCTATGGCCTCTCTCCTGGCTAATCTTCTCTATCTTCTGCCTCCACCTCCATTTCTGCCGCCTCCTCCTCCTCCTCCCTGCCCTCTTCGCTGTCGTCCAGCCCTGCCTTGACATCTTGAAGTTGTTGGTACTCAGACACCAGGTCGTGGATGTCACCCTCAGCTTCCCCGAATTCAGTTATGTCCATGCCTTCACTGGTGTACCAGTGCACGAATGCTCTCCTCCTGAACATAGCTGAGAAGTGCTCCGACACCCTGGTGAAGAGCTCTTGGATGGCTGTGCTGTTACCCAGGAAGGTAGCTGCCATGTTCAGCCCCCGGGGCGGGATGTCACACACGGCCACCTTGACGTTGTTGGGAATCCATTCCACGAAGCAGCTGCTGTTCCTTGTCTGCACAGAGAGCAGCTGTTGATCTACTTCCTTAGTGGACATCTTACCCCGAAAGATGCAAGCCACAGTCAGGTAGCGGCCACGGCGAGGGTCACAAGCAGCCATGATGTTGCGGGCATCAAACATCTGCTGGGTGAGCTCGGCCACTGAGAGGGCTCGGTACTGCTGGCTGCCCTGGGCCGTGAGTGGGGCGAAGCCGGGCATGAAGAAGTGAAGACGAGGAAAGGGCACCATATTCACCGCCAGCTTGCGCAGGTCTGCGTTGAGCTGGCCGGGAAAGCGCAGTGAGGTGGTGATGCCACTCATGGTCAAGGACACCAGGTGGTTGAGATCCCCGTAGGTGGGCGTCGTCAGCCTCAGGGTGCGGAAGCAGATGTCATAGAGGGCCTCGTTGTCGATGCAGAAACAGGCGTCCGCGTTCTCTATCAGCTGGTGGATGGACAGCACGGCGTTGTAGGGCTCTACCACCGTGTCCGACACCTTGGGGGACGGCATGACGCTGAAGGAATTCAGGATCCGATCTGGGTATTCCTCCCGGATCTTGTTCATGAGCAAGGTGCCCATGCCTGAGCCAGTGCCCCCACCCAGAGAGTGCACGATCTGGAAACCCTGCAGACAGTCGCAGCTCTCACTCTCCCTCCTCACCACGTCCATGACATTCTCGATCAGCTCGGCTCCCTCCGTGTAGTGGCCCTTGGCCCAGTTGTTACCAGCTCCTGAGTTACCTGTGACCAGGAGAAGGATGGGAGGAGGGACAGGTGAGCAGAGCACCACCAGGAGGCATCCTCGGTTCCTCCTGGTGGAAGCTTCTGGGAAAACAAAAACCAACCTACCATGAACAAAGCTGTCAGGTTGAAAGAGGGCTCCGAGTCTGCTGGAGCGGATGCTGTCCATCGTCCCGGGTTCCAGGTCCACAAGGACAGCTCGGGGCACGTACTTCTTACCTGTGGAGATTAATAGCATTTGGTTCAGCATTCAGTTGCTTTTCTGAAAGTTGATGCGTCCTCAAGACGCCCTCAATGTCCTTGGGACACTGTTCCAAAAACCATGAGTATTCTAGAAGGTGGTCTTTGGTAGGCAGACATTTTAATACCGATTCCTGGCAATACCTGACCCAGACTACCATGACACAAATCCACAAAAACACCTTTTTAAAACCGCACCTCTCTCATTACTGTGTGCTTGATTCCGTGCCTCGCCAAGGACCATGGGTTCTCACCCTTCCCGTGGGGTATGAGGCTAGCATGGTGACTGCATCCCATTCCGCCCCCTGCACCGGAGTGGGCACCGGACTGCGAACCCAGCAGCCAGTCCTACCGTAGGCTTCATTGTAGTACACGCTGATCCTCTCCAATTGCAGCGCAGAGGCCCCACTGTCGCTCCCAGCACAGTCAATCCCATGTTCCTCTCCGATCACCTCCCAGAACTGTAAGCAGGAGAGCCATTGGGGCCGCTCAGCAGCTCAGCCGGTAAAGGGGCTTGCCACCAAGTCTGATGACCTGAGTTCAAGCCCTGGGACCCCACTTGGTAGAAGAAGAGAACTAACTACTACGATTGTCCTCTGACCACCACATGCATACCATGGCATGTGTACTCTTGCAGGCACGCGCGCACCCCCACACACAAACGAATAAATAGACGTAATAAGAAGACAATAATAGATGGGGTAGGATGGCTTCCGTGAGGGTGTGGCTGCCTTGGGGGCTGCCTGACTCTGCCCAACGCTTCCTTCCTCTTCTTGGCCCCGCTAAGTGTGATATGGAGGCTGTCTGCGCTTTAGATCCATCTGAACTCCTGGGGTGAAATGTCAAACACATAACACATTAATTGGATTTTGCTATTAACCCGGTGTGTTACATCTGGCCCTGTCAGAGCCTCACTTCAGATGAGGGAGCTCCAATTTCACCTTGCCTTAGTGTGAGCTGGAGAAGTACTGATCCCAAGAAATAAAAACAAACGGGATTCTTATTTGATTTCACAATGGTATCTCCTTTCACTCTGGGGATTTTTTTTCTTCTTCTTCATGAACTTCACCTCAGAAGTTCATCCCCAGGGCCCTCCTGCATGACCTGACATAATGCGTGTTTTGACCATCAGACATACTTGCAATTCAGATTTATGCATAGTTGTTATCTTGGAACTCTCTGGAACATTCTGTGTTCCCAATCATGCACCTGGCATTTGAGATACAGCCTCGCTCTGTAGACCAGACTGGCCTCAAACTCACAGAGATCTGCCTGCCTCTGCCTCATAAACTCTGGGATTAAAGGCGTGCGCCACCATGCCCTCCTGAGAAAAGCGCTTTATTACTTTTATTTATCCATTCATTCATGTGTGATGTATGTTTGTTAGTGTATACAAAAACAATTACTGATAGTCAATTTTCTCTACCATGAGGGCCCTGGGGATTGAATTCAGGCCATCAGACTTGGTCGCAAGCACCTTTACCTGCTGGACCAACGTGCGGGCCTACAACATTTATTAACACAGGGGAGGTTATGCATTTATTACTGGGATGGTCTCATTAGACCATTCTGAAAAGCTCTTATATTAAAGTACAATAAAAATACCTTCCCTTGAGTAAAAATCTCCAAGGGTATTTTCCCAAGCCTCTTTGTAAGCGGTACCTCAGTCCCAGCCATACTCTTAGAAAACAGTATGGTGCTGTGATGGGCTTTGAAGGGTGGGAGAGTTAGTGGGAAGAAGTTCTGAGACAGTGCAGATGAAACGTGTCTTAGGGTTGTGCGCATGTGTTCATGAGTGTGCATACATGTGCCTGCTGGGCACGTACGCTAGCTTGGACATGTATGTGAAGGGCAGAGGTCGAGGTCTGGTTACTCCTTCACTCTTCACCTTACTTTCAAAGACAGGGCTGTTCACTGAATCCAAGCTCATTGGCTTTGATCAAGCTGTCAGGACAGCAAGCTCCAAGCAGATGCCTGCCCGCCTCTGCCTCCCCAGAGCCTGGGTTTACACCCGTGGCTCTCGATGTGGATGTTTGGGATCTAAACTTGGATCTTCTTGCTTCAGTGGCAAGAACTTTACCAGTTAAGCCATCTCTTGAGTGTAGAATGTTTCTTAATTCTTATAGGCTGGACAAGAAGTCACGGCCGGGACTCCAGCCACCAGATGGCACAATCCTGAAGGCAGTGCGAGCTAATGATCCCCTATCCTTCCCCTCACTTCCTGCTGGGGCCTAGCCAAGGCCACCTTATCCTTTAAGGTCAGAGCTGTCTCCCTGATCCCTCCCCACCCCCTTCTCTGTTGGTTATAAGGTCTGATCCTTGTGGCATGTGAGCATGACTGAATGACTGATGTTTGTCAAGCCATGGTAGTGTTTGCCTCAGGGCTCCAAGACCTTCAGTTAAAGCCAACCCAGCTCTGGCTTTCCTGGGTGTTCCTTCACTCAGAGGTCTCCAAATCAACAGGACACACACACACACACACACACACACACACACACACACACACACACACACACGTCCTTGTAGACTGCAGCAGAGTTCACAGCAACTAAGAAACGGAGTCAACCTGCCAGTCTCCAAGGAAAGTGCTTGATGAAGCACAGTGGATTTTTTTTTTTTTTTTTTTTTTTTTTTTGTCATTTTCCAGAAAACGGTGGAAATTGGAGACCATTGTATTAAGAGGACTAACCTAGTCTCCAAAAGACAAATCTGACATGTTTTTCTCTCATCTATGTGTCTTGGAGTGTGAGTAGTCATATAAAATCATGCATGTATACATAAGATAAAAGCAGATGTGAAACTGGCCCCGGGGGATGAAAGGGAAGGATGGGCTGGAGTAGAGGGAGACACCCAAGAGACAATACAGGTCTGGGTGAAAATGTGACAAGTAAGTAAAACCAGAAAATTGAAAGGGCCTTCTCCAGTTTTCCACAGCTGCGTCCATACAGTAGACACCCAATGCCCATCCCTCAGATAAACACTATGTGATCCGTACACACAGGAGGGTATAGCTCAGCTCAAAATGAAGGGGCCCCCAACCCTGCCGTCACATGGATCTACTCAAGGTTGTCTAGCAGGGCAGACGCGCACGCAGACCTGGGGTGGAGTGGCACTTGTCAGGGGAGGGGGTGAGAGAGGAATGAAGTCAAGTTTCAACAGGGCAGGGTTTGCACTTTATAAGTGGAAAGATGTGTTTGTTTGTTTGCTTTTTGAGGAAGAGATTTTGAAGGTGGGTTACACATTACACTCAATACTGCTGAATTTGCATGCAAAAAAAAAAAAAAAAGACAAGGATTTCACAGCACATACATCTTACATCAAAAAGATCTTGAATTCCCTTTTAAAGCTCCATAAGGTTTCATTATAATAAAATAACAGAGTAATGTGTTTTATACGTGTATGTATTTGTTTTGTGGGTGGGTAGGAGGGGCACACATGCCATACAAAAGGAGGTCAGAGTGTATTATCCACGTGGGTCTTAAGGGTCTTACTCAGGCCATTAGGCTTGACAGCAAGCGTCTCCACCCACTGGGCCATCTTGCCGGGCCCCTGGTCCCACCCTTCTGCCTCTTGTTAGTGATACTGCTTTGAAGAAACAAAGGTCTTTCTTGGCGGTGTTTTTAAGCACATAAATTATACACATGAAAGTAATTCAAAAGTAACACAGGGAGTTTTCTCCATAGGTGCTACACAACTGTTATTGATCTTAAAATTAGGTCAATCCTGACCTCAGGAACCTGCCTTCCTGGTGTCCCCAGGGGACGGAGTCAAGAGCCTCCCTCAGGATTGCAACAGGAAGGAGGATTGAGAGGAACACTCATTTACATACCAGAATGTTTTAATTACCCATCTCTGTGTTTGCCTCTTTAAGTTTCTATTGCATACTAATTTTTCTTTGTAATGTAAGCATGGGCCCCACCCTACCCGCCACAGCTCGGAGAACATTGAGGAAGAATGGGCAGAAAGGGTGTAAGAGTCAGGGGGTGGGAAAGGGTACTGGGAAAACGTCTTCCAGACAAGGCATGACCACTGTACTCAGATCCCCAGAATCTGTTACTGCCTGTATGAAATCAAGCCAAGATTCATTAACAGCCGAGCAAACAGCACCTATCCATCTCAGTGGGTATAAAACTGTGTGTGTGTGTGTGTGTGTGTGTGTGTGTGTGTGTGTGTGTGAAGGGAGAGACAGGAGATGGATATATCAGAGTGTCCAGGGACAGTGATAGGAGGTAGATGGGGCGGAGCTGGTGAATCTCTGAGTTTGAATCCAGCCTGGTCTCCAGAGTGAGTCCCAGAACGACATGGGCTACACAGAGAAACCCTGTCTTGAAAATCCAAATTAACTAACTAATTAATTAATTAAATAAATTTTAAAGTTGCCAAAGGATAGATTTTTAAAAGAACATTTGGGAGGTGGAAGGCACACTATAGTGATGCGGTATTAACGAAAACAAAAAACCTTCCAGGAAGGCTGGCCAGATGGCTCAGCAGGATAAAGTCTTGCCACCAAGCTTAATGACCCGAGTTCAACCCCTGTGATGAAGAGAGAACCGGCCCCAGCAGGTTGTGCTCTGACCATCACAGGTGCACAGTAGCACACACCCACCCTTCCAAATAAACAATTCACATTTTAAAAACATTTCAAATACTCTTTTGTAGATGGTTCACCTGGTAAAGGGGCTGCTGTCAGACCTGATTTTGATGTTGGGGCCCACAGTGGGAGGAGCCGAGCAACTGAGAATACTGTCCTCTGACATCCACATGTGTGTTGGAACACCATGTCTGCACACGCATACACACATACAACCACACACATACACACACACATATATACATACACATACTCACACACACACTTACACACAACCACACACACATATACATGTACACAGATACACACACATACATACACACACATACGCTTACACACAACCACATACACATACACACACACATATACATGCACACAGATACACACACATACATACACACACATATGCTTACACACAACCACATACACATACATGCACACATATACATGCACACAGATACACACACATACATACACACACATATACACACACACATACACATACAGCATACATACCCACACCCCCATACACACATACCATACCACACACACACACACACACATTATAATAAACACAATTTAAATTAAAAAATTCCCAAAAAGCTTCAGAAAATTCTTGAAACAAATTACTGGTTTTAGATTTGGAAAACTCATTTTTTTTAAAATGCTAAAAGCAAAATGGCTCCTGTACCCATTTACACATATAATTACAGGCAAAATTAACATTAATTAACACTCTAACTCTAATGGTTTCGCTAAAAGACCTTGTTTAATAAGCCATCTATTTAGCAAGTATTTAGCAGGGCACCCTCCTCCCAGGAACATGGGCATCTGTTGGTTTGGTGCAACCTATGGCAAACTGCTCTGGTATTACCTACCTTGGCTCCGATCTGGTTGCCACACTGGCCAATCTGAATGTGCACGATTTCCCTCATCCTGGCCTTGAACCCAAGGATTAGTTAGGTCTCAGAGCCTGGGAGAACCTGGATTGTCAGTGCAAGCTGGGCACTGCAGTTTCTTTTCATGGACCTGGTGGGACCAGCCCACCCAACCTATCTCCCAATTGGTTGAAGGGTGTATCTGGCTGAAGGCCCCACCCCAGGCCTTCCTCGTTTTCCACAGTCATGGTAAGGGGTGCTTGTCTGTCCTGAGCCTGCCCAGTCATTTCCTAGATATGAGTCTGACTGAGGCTTCCTCTGTGTAGAACCCAGAACTGGCCCCTCTCACAGGCCTGGTCTCAACAGGGCCATGGTGGTGTCACTGACATCCATGGGTTATGGGTGACATCCATGGGTTATGGCTGAACAGGGTTCGAGACAAGGCTCAGCAGTTAAGAGCGAGAACTGCTCTTGCTGAGGACTGGAATTTGGTTCCCAGAACCCAGGTCAGACAGCTCTCAAACACTTGTAACTCCAACCTTTCGGCCTTTGAGGGCTTTCACATTCACACGTGCACATATCCATCCCTCCCCCCCCCACACACACACATGTACACAGTTAAAAGTAAAACAGCAATATATCACATCCAGAGAGATGATGAGGAGCTGGGCTATGGCTCAGTTTGGTAGCGTGCTTGCCTAGGGTACAGAAAGTGCTGGACGGATCCCCAGCCCCGCATAAACGAGCGTCGTGGTGCAGAGCTATAATCCTAGCAAATGGAAGTGTAGGCAGGAGAAACATCCTTGGCCACACAGTGAATGCAAGGCCAGCCTGGGCTACCTGGTCTCCAACCCCCTTCCCAGGGATTGATCCTCAGGAACCCGAGAAGCCATCTCATAGAGTGTGGACCCAAGGGATTTAAGACTCGCCATCCATTGCCTGCTGCCTGCCTACATTGGACCAGGGGTGTTGATGGGGTTAAACCTGACATTCTATTTCTCAAGGGCCTGGGCAAGGGCTTAATGGGGCCCCCAATGTCAGGGAAACGATGCATGAGGGATAGACATGATTTAAATCAGCCCGTGAGAGGCCTGGGCTCTGAGCCAAAGAGAAACCCTGTGAAAGACCCTGTCTCCAGAGGGCAGGTCAAGTACACAGTTCTACATTCTGACCAACGTGCCCATTCCCAGACTCCACTCCCAGAGGAATTCCACCAGTAGAGACGAGGCTGCTGTGCTGGGAGAACTTAGGGTTGCCCACAGAATCCAAATACAGACTGTGCCTACTGCCGGAGGGTCACGTCCACACTCTCTTGGCTTTGGCTGTGGAGTCGTGGTCCATGAGTGGCAGGAGACACGCCACCGGGGAGCACGTACAAAGCGACCATGTACAGGGGGCCCTGAGCAAACCCGTCAAGACGGAACTGAGAACGGGCCTCTCTGTGAAGCCAGTGCAAGCTTCAGTCTTAGTGACCACACGATTTTCAAATGTCCCCTCCCCCCAAGAGAAGGAGGATGCGCACACTTGGGAGGTAAAAGTGCATATGTGTTTCTCAGCGTCTTTCACACGTTAACAATCATGGGGGATTGGGAGCCAGTTCAGTAGTTGAGCAAGCTGGCTAGGAAGGCCAGGTTGACTGGTAAGCTCTGGGTTAGACTGAGACCCCGCCTTAAATAATACGGTAGAACAACATGGATAAAGATGCCTGAAATTAGAACCAGGCCTTCACAGGCATGTGCACACATGTGTGCCCACACACAGGAAAACAGGCAAGTATATACACACCCACACACACCCACACACACACCCACACACCCCCCCACACACACACACACTCACCCACACACACCACACACACACACACACACACACACACACACACGGGGAGAGGGGAGGAGAATGAAAGGGAAAAATGCACACAAGTTTGGTGTGTTGGTACACAGCTGTCACCCCATGAACGAGGGACGTTGAAACAGGAGCATTACCACAAGTTAGCATCTGAGCAGCCTGGGCCACAGTGAGATCCTGTCTCAAAAGTAGTAAGAGCCAGGGAGATGGATGAGCAGGTGAAGGCAGTGGCCATCAAGATGGATGGTTGAACTCAATCCCCAGAACCTCAGATGCTACAAGGAGAGACCTAGTTCCCACAAAGTGTCCTCTGACGTCCTCATGCACAGTGGCATGTCCCCCCCACCACCACAAAATCTATCTAAAAATATAATTAATTAAATAAGTGCACACAGAGGGTCAATTCAGAAGCCAGCACACCCTCTAGCCTCTCTCCTTGGCTCTTAATGCCCTGCTTGTCTCTGGGACCTGATGGCTCAGAGGCAGCTGTCTTGCCCTTGAAGGCCCTCACATCCTTAGGATGAGAAGTGTGCAGTGGCCATGCTAATTACTCAAATGCATTAGTCAGATGCACTCCTTATTGTCTGGCCAACTGGGTGGGGGGCTGCTGGTCTCATGTCAGCTTTGAGACCCTACATTGCCCGAGGCACAGCAAGCAGCTCAGCAGTGTTTGTCAGTGATGGGTGAGTTTGGACAGCCTGGCTGAGAAGGGCAGGTTTCTTTAAAGGCCATAATGTATTCATTCAGTAGTGTACCCTTGTAATGGTGTGTGGGGACGCAGTGCTCATGGACACTTTCCTCCACCCCCTGAGAGGTGGTCTAAGCTGAAAGTAGAAAGTGTTCCAAGAAACTTGGCTATCGGGCACAGCTGGGCGGGCGACAGCCGGCCACAGTGAGCTATTGTGGGAAGAAGCCATGTCCGTGGTGGCCCTGGCTTCTGTGCAGAACCCTTGAAAGGGGCCCCGTGTGGCTGCATGCTGCCTGGCCGTGCGGACCTCGGGGCTGGCTCCAACAGCCCTTTTTGATCTCCCTGTGTTCATTCCTCCCTGTACAGCCAGGACCCTGGGGCCGCCCAATCTTGAGCACATTCCTCTTGGTCATCTCAGTTTGCTTAGGGAGGGGGAAAGCCTGGCTTCCAGATGGTCCCTTAAAAGGCTTTTCTGTTAATGGGGCAGCTGGCAAAAAGAGAGGCCTTGTTTGCTTCGTTCCCGTACCATCAGCAGGGTTTGCTCAGTCTCGGTCCAGTGCTCAACTTTGGATGCTGGGCTGCAGGGAGGCCGGGGTAGGGGAAGATGCTGGGCAAGAGAGGCCTGGCAGGTACCCAGGGCAGCCCCTGAGAGGGGCCCACCTCCTCCCTGGCTGAGAATTTCTCCATCTGCTAAACCCAGATTAACAGTATCAAAGTCACAAGTCTCGTTGGAGAAATTAGTGCAGTGAGATTGACCTCAACACCTCAGAGGGGTTGGTGGAGGTCGGGATGGAGGTCTGTGTGGGCACCTCCTGTGGGCGCAGCCTCCTGGCCATCCCTGATGCTCAGGTACAGAGTGCTGAGCTACACTGCCAGAAATAGGAACACATGCATAGAACTTCTGAAGAGCATAGTGCCTTACACCCTTGTGCATGAGGATACCTGTTCTCCCAGGCAGACAGCTTCCCAATGCCACTTTGTTATATGCCAGTCAAGGGGTGATTATATGGCAACGTCTCAGACCAATGGAACTGCCCTGTTCAAGATGCAGGTGAGCAGTGTCCCCAGAGAGGACTGTGTCACCCTCAGGTCGGATCTCTTGCCAGTCTGAAAATGACCCCTTAGCCCTGAACTGTGGCAAGTGATGAAGGGTAGCTCCCTGTGATGAATGACAAAGTCATTCTCTGGCCCCTGGGAAGGGATATGGCAAGGGCAGGTTAGCGATGACTGAGTTCTAGTGCACAGTGTCACCTGATGTTGCTGTGGGGTCACAGAGGGCACAAGCAGGGGGCCTTTTCAGCATTCAAGGTGGGACACCAAGCAGAGGCACTGAGATTCCTAAACAGGGACAGTCAGCCCCTCCCGGGCAACACCTTCCCCTTCAGGCTCCCACAATCGGCAGGCCACAAGAAAGTGGTTGTAGCAGGCCTTTTCCTGGATGACTCTGGGGTCTATTATGGGAATGGAACCAAGAAGATAAGAAAATGGCAGTGTCACACAGACCCCCCAATCAGCCACTTTCAGACTTCCCCCCAAGAGCTGTGCCCTGGGGTCACATGGAACTAACTCCCCGAGCGGTCCCCCGAGAGGTCATGGGTTTCACCCTCCCGAAGCACTGGCCGTCCTCGAAGCCCTCAAGGGAAGACTGTTGAATTACAGTGTTTGCTTGCGATTCAGGAGCAGAACATCTTCCTAGTGTCTTAGCAGGAAAATGACATCCGCGAGGCCATTGTGAGTGACTCAGCCGGTGTGGGCAGCCCCTCTGATGAGCCCAGCTCCCCTCTTTAGCCCCCCCCCTTCCCTACATCCCTCTAACTTGAAAAGAAAGTTCCAGGTTCCAGGAGGAATAAGTCACTTCAAACAGAGAGGGGCTGTAAGATGGACATGCTTTCCAGCTCTGCACAGGAGTCTTCCATCGTGCTCCCCTGAGGCTGAAGTGGGGGCCGTGCTCCTCAGCCAGCCAGAAACCCCAGACCAGGAATCAACCGGGACACCTATTGGGTACACGGACACGGGCCTCTTGAGCCAAGATTTCTCTCACTAACAGACAGACATGTGAGGGGACACACACACACACACACACACACACACACCACTTCCCCTGACCTGCTTTGATTCTGAAGGCAATGGATATTGAGCCTTCTCAATTGCACTTTCCATCTCCCAAGGTGTACAGCCACTGATAAACAGTGATCTGTGGTGGAAACAGAGATAAGCTCACAGCCGTTAGCACCTGGAGCCAAAAACAAACAAAAATATAGAGTTCCTCAAGCCTGGGGTTTGTCTGTGTGAACTGGTGTATGAGTCTCAGAAAAGATCTATTTACTCAGCAAATATTATCAGAGGGACCTTAGAAAAGGCTAACAGGGGCATCCTCTCTCTGCTGAGGCCCAGAAATGGGGGCTTTGGGAGAAACTGACTCGCCCCAATTTCAGAAAGCTTAGCAGGTCTTCAGACACCCCCAGTCAAGGGTTCAGTCCAACCATGTCAGAAGACAGGCTGGAGAGAGGGCTTCCGCTCAGACATCCTGGGGGCCTCGAGTCCTCTGAGCTTGCTTTCCTCCCCTCTGATGAACAGCTGCACCCTGCCCTTTCCC